TGAATTCGGTTTTTCTACAAGTTTCGGTGCGGTTCGGTTTAGGTAAATAAATATTTTTAGTTTTCTGTTTTCGCGGTTGGGTGCGGTTTTGCATCGACCGCACCATACTCTCCCATACTCCTAGTTATGTATGATGATAAATATATTTTTTTTTTTTTTTTACCATTTTATCTAATTCTCACTTAAACGTCTAATCTTCCTTATGAGCGCTGAGAACATTATGATTAGACATCACAAAGAAAACAATTTAATTTTAATTATACATTACTATTTAAATTAATTATATATATGTATCGCTGTCAACAAGATTTGGCTAGCAATGTACGTGAGAGTGATTAAGAAAATAATATAATGAGGAAAATGCTTCTTCCACTATAGTGATTGAGAGGATCTTCTTTTCCCTGTCTCCCTTAGTATATTAATTCTATATTATGATTCTTTCATATCATGAGAGGTGACATATTTACTATAGATAAGTTACTAATGTTAAACTCTAACTTATAACTTGTTTGATTAGCTTATACTTAGTTTTATGTATTCAAATAAACTTGATTTGGTCGGACGAGTTTACTTTAAGAAACTTGAGTTTATCTCATAAGTTTTTTTGAGTAGCTTTTCAACAGAAGCAATTCAGATTATTATTTCAGTTAGCTTATCAGCTAATTTTACCAAATACTTTTATCATATAAATTAGTTTTTCAGGTATAACTCATAAGTTATCAACTGTAGGCTCGAAATTCGCTTAAAAGCTATACATTAGCTTATTAACTAGTTTTACTAAAACAATGCCTTAGTTAATTTTTTTCTTATTACTCATATTTTGTTTATGTACTGTCTAGTTGTATCATTTATCTCCATAATTGTGCAATATATTTATATTTTGTCTACTCGTATTTTTCGCCATAATCGTGACGTGTTCGTATTTCACATAATAACTTATTTTCATTCTACATTAATCACTTTTGTGACAAGTATATGTCCCTTCTACATTCCTACTTTTTATGCACTTTTAATTGTTTATTAGCATATCAAAAAAAANNNNAAAAAAAAAAAAAAAAGGAAATAACATAAGGTTGCATCAATTTCACACATAATTGCAGTCAACATCTTAACGCTTTTTCTCGTTTTAAGAAAATTAATTTAATAGAATCACGCTTCTTTTTGGTATATAATAAGAAATATATAATATACATCAGCATTATTTTTATAAAAATTTTATTTGTAATTTTTTATTAATATAATTTTACTAAAATTTTGTATACATACTTAAAAAAGTACTTTGAATTTTGATGAATAAACTATTTAGCCTACTAGAGTTAGAGTTGAGTTTTTACATTGTTAACTCATTTAAATCGTGACCTTTTCCCTTAAAAAACCACCATACCTAGATGATCAAAACCTCCACTTGCTAAGTAAATAGATTATTAAATTAAAAAATTAGTTAACTAATTAATTATACTTAATTGTTACTGATCCACTAGGTTGTGTTGTAGAATAACAGTATTTAGTATTTACTCTCTGATTTCAAATATTTATCAGCTTGTTAGCAAGTTGTTGCAACAAAATTAAAACATAAAATTCAGTGGAAAACAAGATTTTTATGTATCTAAAATGATTACAATATGAACATTATTCCATTGTACTTCTCCATAAATAAACCTGTAATAATATTAGTATGGAATTGTAATTTGGTGTATTTCGTGTCGCGTGTCGAGTCGCATTGTACAATTAATCTATATAATCGTATAGTGGTCGTGTTTTATATCTCATCAGTCATCGTCGTTCCTATGATAGAAATCG